CATCATCATCGTCATCATAATAATAATAATAATAATATTATAGATTCTATCATTTCATTCTGTAATTACAGAAACTCATCCAGTTGTCCATCTGGACCATATTCCACTTTATTGTATAAAGTGTATATATTTTTCATATTTTATGTTTTTATTATATCTTATTTTATATATATAGTATTTTATTCTTTCTCTACTCCTACACTAGATTCTCATGTACTGCTAATTTGAATTCCCCCTACAAGGGATCAATAAAGGAACATCTTATCTTATCAACAACAAGTAAACCAGTTGATTCATTAATCAAATGATTGTTGAGGCACATATAAGATTATTTATTTATGATTACTTATTAAAGGCAGGGGCGGATCCAGATGTTGTAAACAAAGTATGCCCCCGGATTTCCCAAACTAAGGTCTAGGGGCATGCTCCCATTTACAGCAGCTGTATGCACTATTTTTCAAGCCAGGTGAGATCATAGCATGCCTGCATTCTGTGCATCATTTGGGAAAAAGATGATGGTTGCCCAGGAAAAACATGATCCTGTACAGCATACATCACTTTTGTATCTAACTGTCTTCATCATTCTGAAACCAGAACACAACACATGTTGAAGATTGTCACTCCTGCCACCTAAAAAGAGGCCAAATATTGTTTGATGTTTTTATTTTTATGTTACATGACATAGGTAAGGTAGCTATTTGGTGTAAACAGCATTACTAAACCTATTTCTAATTAACCATGCTGGAGTAGAGTTCACAGAATGAATTGGAGCCTGATCGATATATCACAGACATATCAGTATCAATACATATAGACATATATGTTAACCCATATGTGCCAGTATGAAATATGTTTATGGTATATAATGCAGAGAAGAATGTTTGTGGTAATTTATTAGTGTCACTGCAGAGTTTAGCAGAGTGTGCTGTGTTTGACAATAATGTTATATAAAGTTATTTGTACCTTCGCGTAGTCATATAGTTGCAAATTACACATAGAAAAGTCTATTTTTATTCCAGCTCAAATGTTCACTTGCCTTATCAGAGGTGAATTTTCCCCTCTAAAACTGATATCAGTCTCAAAAATCCCAAGAATAAATGTTTAACTGACAGATGTAATAAATGGTGATGTTTCCCCAGTAATAGAAAAATGAGTAAAGATACATGAAATGACACAAAGCCTGTCTTGAACATGAAAACAACAGTCTTCGCTTGCTCTTA